TCTTTCAAATATATAAAATAAACAATGAAGATACAAGGAAAGATATGTATGAAGGAATCCTGAAAAATTAAAGAATTTCTTCTTTTTATATGATTCAATGTCAGAAAATTATAAAGCCCTTATAATTTGAGCATACCGCTAAGGATTTATTAAAATGACACCATGTATAAGCCCCTTAAATATCTGATTTTGTTTTTTGTAGTTATACTTCTTATAGTACCCTTTTTCCTAAATCAACTGCCCCTTAAATTCATATGAAACGTAGTGGTACCCTCAACTCTGCTATCAAAAAATTCTATATTGAGCCGGGCACCGTGGCCTAGGGGCTAAAAGTCCTCACCTTGAACGTGCCGGGATCCCATATGGGCGCCTGTTCTAATCCCATCAGCTCCACTTCCCATCCAGCTCCCTGCTTGTGGCCTGGGAAAGTAGTCGAGGACGGCCCAAAGCTTTGGGACACTGCACCTGTGTGGGATACCCAGAAGAAGTTCCTGGATACTGGCTTCAGATCAGCATAGCATCAGCCGTTGCCATCACTTGAAGAGTGAATCATCGGACGGAAGATCTTCCTGTCTCTCCTCCTCTAGTCTGTACATCTGACTTTCCAATAAAACTTTAACAAAAAAAATTCTATATTTCAGCATTTCATTGATAATTATTAACCAAATAAGGAAGAAAAAACTTTTCTTCAAATAAACCTTAAAGACTTGGTATTGAAATTTTTTCATGAAATAAGTAAAAATGTCTCAGCAAGGAATATATACTTTTTTACTTGAAGGGATTAAAATAAAAATTTACTTGTAAGCGCTAGAAATGACCACAAAGATGATTATTCTGTTCAGACAACTTCTTCCAATCTGACTGCTCTCAGACATTTCATTATGATTTGTCACATAAAATTAAAAATAAATTACAGTCTGAAGGCATATCACATGCAGTCAGCTGAAAGTGTGATGATAATGGTTTCCTAAGATTATATTTTCCTCACCGAGTCAGTTTGGAACTAAAGCATTGACTGTCTTCCTGAAATAGGCCAGACCAATCAGACAAGCTGTTAAGCTGGTGAGGCTTCTTGAAGATCCATTTCAAAGGAGTAAGATATTCACTTCCTGAATTATCAGGCCTGCATTTTAAAATTATTATTATTTTCTAAAAATACCACCCAGATAGGTAAGCCATGCTTCCTATCTATACACAGGGCCATGGTTAGTTTCTCCTTAACTCTGCGCTAAATCCGAGTGTAGGAACACTTCCTACCACTGTCGTCTTCTTTCTGCCATTTCTGTGGCAGATAATTTCACAATTTTCTATGCTACCTCCTTCCACCTGTCTTTAATGTGATACTACTTTTTTAGATGAACAGGATATATTTCTAACATAGGCAATTTTATCTATAAATTTTAGAGGCCTATTAGCTTTAGTCTGTCACTTTGTTCAATGTAATTTATTTTGATTTTCCTGAGAAATTTAAGGAAAACACATGACTCTCTTGAGATACCACCTACTATTATTCTTCCCTGTAGATAAAAAGCATTATAAATCAGTTGCAAAAAGCAAATGGAAAAAGTCTTTTGATATGAAAAAAATCACCATTCATGTTATCAAGTAACATGATTCAAATTCAGTTTATGACTTTTTTTTTTCATTTTGACATCAAAAAATTATGAAATTCACGATTTTACTATAGCCATACTTTTGTTAAAAATGTCAACTATTTCTATCTATTAGCTTTTATGGTTCAAGCAAGCTAAAAAGAAATGAAAGCATTAGAAATCCATAGATATGTACTATATCCCATAACAAACGCAACCTTCACCACAACACATGATAACCAAACTCTCTTCAACCAAACACAAGGAAAAGATCCTTCAGTGTGCATGTGAAAAAATCAATTGACATATAGGGGAGTGGAAATCAGACTTACAACTGAAATGCCACAGGCCAAAAGAGAATGCAACAACATATTCCAGACTGTAAAAGCTAGAAATTGTCAGCCCAGAATAATGTACCCAGCAAAGCTTTCCTTTGTTTTTGAAAATGAAATTAAATTCTTCCACAGCAAAGAAAGCTAAAAGAATAAGCCTCTTCCAAACCTTCCCTACAAATGATAAAGATGTTCTATTTACAGAAAAAAGGAATAGCACCTACCAAAACCAAAGTCAAATGTGAAGAACATACCAGTAAAATAACAACAGAAGACTAAATCAAGCAATGAACAACCCATTGCTAAAATGACATAACCAAATTACCACCCATTCAATTAACCCTGAATGTAAATGGCTTAAAACCATCAATCAAATGTTATAGATTAGTACACTAGATTAAAAAAATAAAGCCTACCTGTTGTCTGCAGGAGACACCAACAAAGATCAGTGCAAACTATATTTCATGAATTTTGATGTTTTTGTTTCTATTTTTATTTCTTCAAAACAGTTTATTTCTCATTAAATTCTTCACTGACTCACAGGTCAGACAGTAGCATCATTTTCTTCAAAAACGTTATTCATTTTCCTTTTCATTTCCTCAGTGACACATTAGTCATTGAGTAGCATGTTACTTAACTTCATGGCATTGTAAATTTATATTTTTCTTTCTGTTGTTGATTTTGTTTTGTGGGTTTTATTTAAGGAGATGTATAGCAACTTCGAAATGGAGAATAACATATCCAGATGTGAGGATACAGTTCAGTATGCATCTCTACTTCCAGATTAAAGATGGATTCCCGATGAAACTGTTAAATATATCTTGACAATAGGGTGCTGGACTCTGACATTGTCTATGTCCACAATGATGGACATATGACTGTTTATGAAGAACTATACTATTGTAATAATACAGGTGAAACTAGTGAGGGTGGGAGATGGGGAGGGGATTTGGGGAGAAGTTAAGGGAAATTCCAGAGCCTATGGAACTGCATCAGAAAATAATAATAATAATAATAATAATAATAATAATAATAATAATAATAATAATGGAAAAATAAAAAGAATTAGAGATCAATAGATATATATTAGGTCCCATTAAAAACTAAGGTAGAAACATACTTCAGCATTTTGAAGTTTTTCTTGCTTATTTATTTTCACTGATTTCAAATGCACAGAGATAGAGACGAGACAGACTGAGACACAGTGTATATAACACAGATCTTCCAACCAGTGGTTCTCTATCTAAACACAACATTCAGGGCTGTGCCAGGCTAAAGCCAGGAGTCTGGCACTCTATTTGGTGCCCCTACTTAAACACTCATGCCATCATCTGCTGCTTATCCTGGCATGCATTAGCAGGAAGCTTCATCTGTAGCAATTGCACGACTCTAACCCAACACTTGATATCAAATGCAAGTATCCCAAAGCATCAGCTTGACCTCATTTTTGCTGTTTTTTCCCACATTCCTATCACTTTTTCCTTTTGAAGCAGGCGAAAATACTTTTCCCATTGAAGAGCAAAGTAACACTCAGCCCCATGTATTCCATCCTTCTCTTCTGCCCAGTATTATGCTGCAAACAGAATGTCCTAGAGTTGTTTAAGGAACAAAAGAACTACATGCCATAGGAACTGCAAGACTTACACAGTTTGTATTAACCTGGAAAGTACATGTGCTGATAGACTCTAAAGCGTATTTGATTAAAGGATCCAAAACTCAAAATTAGATGAGGGAAAATTTATTTGGAGGCATCCTCCTTAAGTTACAGGATTTAATAACTAGCAAGAATCCCAAATGATTCAGACTCATTTCTAGGGATTTCTTAGAAATTTGGACAATCCCATGGCTGGTATCAAATGTGAATGAAATGCTGAAACAGATGGAAGAGAAGGGAATTCCTAGACTCACATTTAGTTGTGGCTCTCATTCAAAGACCACAACTGAAGGAAAAGGCCGATATCAAAGAGGGCAATAAGTGAGGATGTTTACCCACCAAAAGCCAGGCATTTAAAATTAAATGCAATGAAAATGACTAGAAATTAACTTATCAAACAATCTGAAACTGTAGTGTTACTCAATTATTTGTAAGAATAAATGTGGTTTATTCAAATTAATAATAAATATATTAAGCATGTATTTTTATAAAGTAGCCCCTACAAACTGGAAAATACACTCAGCACAAACACCATAGATAATGACAGATTTGATATATTCTAAGTATTTTGAAAGCTGATGAAAGTATTTTTTCCTGTTGGAGACAACTTCTACACATTATAAGAGATAAGAAATACATCCTAGTTACAACTGATTCTCATGATTATTTATTCGTATAAATACCAAGGCACTCAATATGTTTTAAAATAGTACATGCTTTTTTTTGTTCTATTATAACTGGATGACTGCCAGTGTGACGAAATCCAAAATTCTCCCAGAACATACTAAATTATGTTTGGTGTCCTCTCTCTTTAAAATAACAATGGAAAATTTTGTAGTAGTACAATCCAATGCTGGCTAGAATAGATGAAAATATAAAACTACATTTTGAAAAATTATTGCCTATTTACGCAAGGATTCATAGCTTGTGATCAGATATCGTGTGTCTCCTGCTCTGCACTCTTCTGGATTGTACCAACTCCTGCTCACTTACCACCTTGTCTCTGGTTCTTCTATCACAGGTCAGAGAAAAACCACAAAGGTGATGGGAGATCAAATTTTATCAGCAACCAAAAACAAACTGCAGAACACCAATAACTCTAAATAGGATTGCTTAGGTCATCAAGTCACTAGGATCATGTATTTCAATTGCCTCAGCTTCTAACATTCTTGTAAGAAAGAAGGATTTTCGGAGATAGAAAGAGAGGTCTGATCTGGGATAGAGTACACTATCATTTGACTGCTGAAAGCTATGAGGAGATAAGCAGAAGGTAAAATATACATGCATACATAAATGCACATTTTAGATAGAGTATTCCCTATTAACTCAAAGCATTTATTTTAAACTTGGGATTTTTATGATTAATTGTATTAAGTTATTTCAGATTTTTCAAATTTAACTCAAATATAAAGACATACTTACTTAGAAGAAACCGCCTCCATGAACTCATCCAGAAAGTCATCATATGCAGGCCCTCTCACTCGTCTCTGCCGCAGTCCAATATACAATGGATCTTTAAGTAATTCCTGTCAAAAACAGGAAACAATTTAGAAACAACTAGAAGCAGATGACGTGTTCTTCCTAATCATGTTTCCTTTTCTACACAAAACAGATAAGCAAAATTCTGTCATACTAAATAAAAACTAAGCAAAAGAATCATTTACATACCCTTGTATAGAATTTAACTGAAGTGTTCATACAACAAAGAGGAAAAATAAATTCTAAATACCAGAAATATTCTGGATAACTCTAAGGGAGAATACAGGGATCAAAACCTCTCAGTGGTGTTAATTAGAAAAATTTACTTCATATTTTATAGGCAAAGCTTAACATATATATTAGAGAATGGAGACATAGCAATTCCTTTCTTAGATTTATTTTCTGCTTTCAAAACCGGTTTTCAAATAGTATTTTCATTACATATTTAAAATGATAACTGATGAAAGTAGTCCAAGATTAAGACTATGATTTTTTTTAAGCTTTTTTATATTTTATATCATTTAAGTTGTCTGTAAATTAGGGCTTGTGAGAAAACATTGCTCTGTTCAACTTTTAGTCTGCATAATATATAATATTTATTTTTATAAATCCCCTTTTTTAACTGTTAAGAGTAAAACATGCCTATTCCATGATCATTATGTCTTCCACGTAGAGCAATAATTTTCTTCTTTTTTAATTTTTACTTTTCATGATACAGTTCCATAGGTTCACGGATATCAGTTTTTGAGTTGAGGTATAATTTACACATAGTAAAATGTAACCAATCACAACAACAGCTCTCAATAAATAAGGAACAGATGGGCCCGGCGGCGTGGCCTAGTGGCTAAAGTCCTCACCTTGCACGCTCCAGGATCCCATATGGGCGCCGGTTCTAATCCCGGCAGCTCTACTTCCCATCCAGCTCCCTGCTTATGGCCTGGGAAAGCAGGCGAGGATGGCCCAAACCTTTGGGACCCTGCACCCATGTTGGATACCCGGGATACTCTAAACATGGAATTCCTGGAGATCTATTTAACAGAATATGTGTATATCCTGTACCGGACACTGTAAAACACCACTGAAGGAAACCTTGCTGAGTTTGTAGGCTGTTAAAAACACAGAAATCAATGTCACATATTAGTAAAATAATTGACCAAACTGTCACTTTCATTTACCAGGAACAGAGAGAAATCTACATAATGAACTTGTGAATCGACCTAAGGAAATTTCCAGGCAGAATGCTGAACTACTTATTCTTGGCCTTTTATTTTTAATATATCTTCATTTCTGAAAGGCAGAGTAAAGAGACAGAACGAGGGGCCCGGCGCGGTGGCGCAAGTGGTTAAGTCCTCGCCTTGCACGCCCGGGATCCCATATGGGTGCCGGTTCTAATCCTGGCAGCTCCACTTTCCATCCAGCTCCCTGCCTGTGGCCCGGGAAAGCAGTGGAGGACGGCCCAAAGCTTTGGGACCCTGCACCCGCGTGGGAGACCCGGAAGAGGCTCCTGTCTTCAGATCGGCATAGCATTGGCCATTGCGCTCACTTGGGGAGTGAATCATCGGATGGAAGATCTTCCTCTCTGTCTCTCCTCTCTGTATATCCGCCTTTCCAATAAAAAATAATAAAAATAAATCTTTAAAAAAAAAGAGAGACAGAACGAAATGATCATTTTTCTACTGGTTCACTACTCAAATGGCTACAATAGATAGGGCTGGGTAAAATCACAGCCATGAGTCAAACTCTAGGTGTCCCCAAAAGATGGCAGGGACACAAGTCTATGAGCAGTTATCATAAATGTTAACGAAACAGTAATTCTCTTATGCCAATGAGTTTGGAGGTGGTTTGTTATATATAAATGACTTTTTTCGGGGGGGGGGGGGAGTGCAGGTATAGTGATGTTTGAATCATCTTAACTGGAGTTTAATTAAAGTCAACAAAAATAGCCAAGTTCACAGCTGTTGTCCTAGTGTAATAATCAACAGCTTTCTCTCACATTGTGAAATTACCTCACTTATCTAACAAAGCTTATTTATAACATACTTTATAGCAGTGAGTTAAGATTTCTGGCTGCCTGAAAATTAGTGTGTTAATAACATGAAGGGTTTTCAGATGTAATATAAAATCTGGAATCAAGTGCTGTTGTAAAGCCCAGTTGTTCCCTAAGGCATGCGAACTTTAGACAATTTACTGGCACGCTTCCAAGCAGGTGAGGGCAAAGTGTCAATGTGCTACTAACAGCTGCCAAAATCGAAATTTCTTCATGTCTGGAATATATTTAGTCTTCTAAAATGTGAGTTACAAAAAGAACAAAGTAGAGTGGAACAAGTTACATATTTTCCCTTCTCTTTTCTCCCACTCCTTTACATATTAATATTTAAAGTACATAACATGGAGAAACATGAGTACAATATTGTCAATTATAATAATAGTACGAGGAAGACAGAACTCTTGAATTAAATGAAAGTTACATATTTTTCCAATATTAAAAGTATCCCTGTCAAGATTATTGCTTTTAAATATTCAAAAAATAATTTTACTTGCTAAAATTAAGACAGCTTAAATAATGGATGAATTCTTGGATATTTGCTCAAAAGTTAACATCTACAAACAGCAATTTAATAAGATCATTTGATTTCGACAAAGACTTCACAGACCAAGAACCCTGACAGAGAAGAAACAATATTATGCCCCGTCATCCTAAACAGGACAGATGAAAACTTCAAATAAACAATGAGAATATCACTTATGGTAATTATGAGATAAGAAGTATGCTGTTAGAATTATACTATTTCAAGGAAAATAATATATGGATAATTAGAGAACATTTGAAAAAAAGTTTTAATTCACTTTACTGAAACTTACTAAATGTGCAACTGCATAAAAATCAGTTACATATCTGATGTGTAACTTAACAATGTTAGTGAAAGTTTTTTATACAACTAGGTTATCATTTTATTTTGTGAAATGTGCTTTGTTCTAAAGTGTCAATCTTTTTTAAGATTTAGTTATTTTTAAGGCAGTGTTACAGAAAGAGTGGGAGATACAGAGCAAGAGATCTTCCACTTGTTCACTCCCCAAATCACCGTTAAAGCATGGACTCAGATCAGGAGTTTAAGGTCAGGCGACCAGGTCAGGAACCAGGAACTTCACCTGGGTTTCCAACATGGTGTATGGCGCCAAGGAGTTGGGTCATCTTCCAGTGCTTCTCCAGTTGCATCCATAGAGAGTTGGATGGGAATTGGAGCAGCTGAAACTTAAACTAGTATCCATATGTGATACCAGCATTACAAGTAGCAGCATAACTTGTTATGGCACAATGCTTACCCCTAAATTATCAATCTTCTAAAACAGCTATTTGATAAATAGGACATGGTGACTGTATATACGGTCACGGTGCTGTTCCTTATGGTTATTTGTTGATAAGTTGTGATAGGTGTGATTGGCTGAAAGAGCTCCACAAATATTTGAAGTGGTAGAGAATCCACAATTACACTATTTTTCTTCAAAAATATTCACTGGTACAGCTCTGAAATATTGGGTTCGAAGCAACAGGCACCATGAGGGAAAACAGCCCTAAACAAGTGTCCTTAGAAACTCAGCACATGGATCAAATAACAAGCATAAGGATTGTGTGATTAAAAATTGCTACAAATAAATAAGTTTTTGTTTCAAAATGATTATATGATAAGTGTATCCTTGTTGGAACTAACTATAATAAAGTAGAAGCAAATGTGGCAAAGCTCAGTTATTTTTAAAAGTAAGGAAGCACCAAGCCAAAAATGTACCAACCAAAGATACTGGGTACTTATAATTATTTCAGGAATGGCTGAACGGGATAGAAGATGAGGTGGAAAATACCAGAAGAAAATGGAAGCAACTGTGTCTCTAGGGCAAAGCTGGAGAGGAGCATTCAGTAGAAAGTCTACAGAAGAACACTCCAAGAAGCAGGGAAGACTGTACAAACACACAGCAGCAAGCAGGATCATACTGGCAACTCCCAGGCAGCAAGCATGACATTTTCTTGGGCCAAGTTGCAAGGAACCTGCAGCCCATGTGAAGAGACAGAGCCATACAGTCCCCACCAACTGAGTTTGGCCTGAAGAGGTGACAGAAAACAGAGTATTCACCTCACCTCGGGAAAGGAAGATACACTGAATTGAAAGCTGCTGTGGCTTATGAGCCACTGGTAGATTTCACTCATGGGAGAAATCTGTAGGACCCATTGAGTGTGCCCTTTAGAGTTGGGGCGGGGGGGAGTGGACAGTGTGTCCTCTTGTTTCTCACCTCCTCCTGACCAACTTCTGTCAGACAGTCATGTGGCTATAGGAATGGGTTGACTCTCTCCATGGTAAGAAAGTTTCACAGGGTATATGATCCCTTGCACCCTACAACTGCTAGAGGCTGGGACTGTGGGACTCCCATGATAACACAACAGGCCAAGAAACTGAGGAGGGTGTCAGATGTGGCTGGGACTTTGGCTAACCACTGGGTCCATCTCTAGAAGCTCAGAGTTCCTTGAATTCTGGGGAGAGCTATTGCAAAAGTATTTGTGTTTACACTTTGATGTACGCTGAGTCTTTGTGTAGCATGTGTACCTGAACAGGTGCAGTGGGTAAATACTGTGAGCTTACTCAGGGAAGCTGGTTCACCTTGAGGGAGCTGGGGCATGAACATGCCATCCAAAATGATGATACCTTCCCACCTGCTAATGGTAAAGATCTGCCATGCCTAATTGGGAATGTCAACCTGGGTTGTTGTCACACCTTCAAGCTCTTCCCAGAAGGCCCTGTCCCAAATCAGTACACAACTCTGGATATCAACAAGTGTCTACCCAGAAGCATAAAAACAAATACAAAAATAAAAGAAATACAACCAAGAGAGACAATATGACTCATCAAAAAGAATGTATCAACGCTTCAATTTTATACTGTGTAAGAGATGGATGAAATGCCTGAAAAGGAATTCAAAACATGATCATAAGATTATTCAAAAACAGAGAGGTGATTTAATGAGTTAAAGAAATCGTACATGACAACCTCTGCCAGGA